TTGTATAATCATTTGTATTTCTGTGGTGCCTGTTGTGTAACTTCTCTTTCATTTCTTATTTTATTTATTTGAGCCTGTTTTCTTTTTTTCCTTAGTGAACTGAGCCAGAGGTTTGTCAGTTTTGCTTATCCTTTCAACATACCAGCTCTTTGTTACATTATGTTTTTCTGTTGTTTTTGTTCTCTATTTCATTTTGTCCTCCTACTGACTTTGGGCTTTATTTGTTCTTCTTTTTCTAGGTTTTTTCCCCTACCTGCTGAGATAAATATAATTTTTTTAGCCCTTTTTTTTTTTTATTTTGAGGTAGGCCTGCAATGCTCTAAACTTCCCTCTTAGTACCACTTTTGCTGCATCCCAAAAATTTTGGTACGTTGTATTTTCATTTTAATTTGTGTCTCTATGTATCTTATGATTGCTTTTTTTTTTCTACTTTGACCCCAAAGTTGTTCAGTAGCATTTTTTAAGTTTAGTTTTAAAAAATTATTCACATTCCCTTCCCACCCACCCCGTTTGGCAACCATCAGTTTACTCTCTATAGCTGTGGGTCTGTTTTGTATGATTTTGTTTATTCTTTTTTTAAGATTTCACATAGAAGTGGAATCATACAATATTCCTTTCTCCACCTTATTTCACTTAGCATAATACCTTCTGCGTTCATCCATGTTGTTGCAAATGGCAAGATTTTATTCTTTTTTATTGCTGAATAGTATTCCATTATCTATCTGTCTATCTATCTATCTATCTATCTATCTATCTATCTATCTATCTCACGTCTTTTTGCACCCACTCATCTATTGATGGACATCTAGGTTGCTTCCGTATTGCTTATTACTAACAATGCTGCAGTAAACATAGGGATGCATACATCTTTTGAATTAGTGATTTTGCTTTCTTTGGATAAATACCCAGAAATATAATTTCTGGGTCATACGGCAGTTCTATTTTAAATTCTTGAGGCATCTCCGTACTAGCAGGGCTTTAGTGCCAGATAGCTTGGGGAAGCCTGTTGGAGCCCAGCACGGACGCCAGGAGTGGATGGTACCACCGTATTGTTCTTGCTTGTTCTCTTTGCTGGGAGGCCGAAGGATCGGGCAGTGGAGCTGGGAGAGCCGCTGTGATTTTGCCGGCCAGCCAAAGCCCTGACGGCGCTCCCACCTGTCCTGGGGCGCCTGCTGGGTCCTCCCGCCCCTAGAGTTGCTGCAGCTCCCGGAGGCTCCTGTGGCTCCGCCCACCTTCACCCTTCTCCATGTCTGTTGTTCAGCAGTGGGTCGTTCAGCCTTCAGATGTCTAGCAGGAGTGATGTTCTGTATCTGTGGGTATATTTGAGTTTGCTCATGGGAGGCGTCGAGTTCTGACGCCTCCTGTGCTGCCACTATCTTGAACTTTCTTTTTTAGTTTTTTAACATGTAATGCTAGATTGTTGGAGATTTATTTCTTGAGATAGACCTGTAATGCTATAAACTTTCCCCATTTGTACTGCTTTTTCTGTACCTCCGAAATTTTGGTATGTTGTATTTTTATTTTGTCTTTATATATCTTTTTTTAAATCCTCACTCAAGGATATGTTTTTTAAAATTTGATTTTAGAGAAGGAGAGAGAAAGAGAGAAACATTGCTGTTAGAGAGAAGCATTGATTAGTTGCCTCCCATACATGCCCTGACCAGGGGTTGAACCTGCAACCTAGGTTATGAGCCCAGACTGGGGACTGAACCCGCAGACTTTTGGTATACAAGACAATACTCCAGCCAACTGAGTCACCCAGCCACGGCTGTCTTTATGTATCTTTTGATTTCTTCTTTTATTTCTTCTTTGACCTAGGAGTTGTTTAGTGGCATGTTGTATAATCTTCACATATTTTTGTTTTTCTCAGTTTTCTTCTCGTAATTTTGTTTCATACCACTGTGGTCAGAAAATATATTTGGTATAACTTCAGTTGTCTTAAATTTATCAAGACTAGTTTTGTGCGCCAAGAGATGGTTTACCCTTGAGAATGCTCTGTGTGCACTTGGAAAGAACATGTATACTATCATTTTGGGATGGAGAGTTCTATAAATATCATTAAATTCATTTGATCTAATATGTCACTTCAGGCCAATATTTCCTTATTGACTTTCTGTCTGGATGATCTATTCATTGCTGTCACTGGGGTATTCATGTCCCCAACAATAATTGTATTTTTGTCATTTTTTCCCTATAGGTCTGTTAGTAATTGCTTTACAGGTCTTGGTACTCCCAGGTTGGTTGCATATATATTAGATGTTACGCCTTCTTGATAAATTATCTCCTTTATCATTATAAAATGTCTATCTTTGTCTCTTGTTACCTTTTTTTATCTTGAAAACTACTTTGTCTGATGTAAGTACTGCTACACCCACTTTTGTCTGGATGCCTTTTGCTTGAAGTATCATCTTCCATTCCTTTGCTGAGTCTCCTGCAGGCAGTGTAGAGTTGGGTCTTATTTTTTATTCCATACTTCTCCTTTTTGCCTTTTTATTTGTGAGTTCAGTCCATTTATAATTTGGGTGATTAACTTTATATGAAGACTTCAGCTATTTTATCTTTTTTTTTTTTTTTTTTTTTTAATATTTTGTGGCTCAGCTCTGGGTTTTTGTGGTCACCATTACAATGGTGTCAAGTGTCCCATAACAACAGTAGTCCTTTTTCTTCTAATGGCCCCTGTATTCACCATTACCCAGTCAGTTCTTTGTCTCCTCTTTTATGATTTTTGTTGTCAAAAATTATCCCCCTATGTTCTGCATTTCTTACCAAATTGCAGTAGTTATAATTATTTTAATATTCTTTTCCCTATTGACCATTATGTTATAATTGTTTAATAACCTATTCTGAAATAGACCTTCAGTTTCCTTCTCCTGTCTATTGAATCATCTTATTCACAGTTTTGTATACTTTTGTGTGCTTGTTTCCAATAGAAGAGCCTCTTTCAACATTTCTTGTATGCAGGTCTTGTGGTGGTCAATTCTCTCAGTTTTGTTTGTGTGGGAAAGCCTTTATTTCTTCTTAATCGCTAAAGGATAACTTTGCTGAATATCTTATCCTTGGTTGACAGTTCCTCTCTTTTCAGTATTTTGAATAGTATCTTTCACTCTCTCCTGCCTTATACCATTCCCACCGAAAAATCTGGCAATAATACTCCAATGGGGTTCCCTTTGTAGGTTAGTCTTTATGTTCCCTGGCTGCCTTGAGAATTTTTTTCTTTGTCACTGATTTTTGACAGTTTGAATAAAATGAGACTTGGAGAAGGTTTTTTTGTGTTGACATAGTTAGGTGTTCTGTTAGCGTCCTCTCTTCTAAAATCCAGTTCTTTCCATAGGCTTGGGAAGTTCTCATCAATTATTTCTCTAAGTAGGATCTCTATTCCCTCCTCCCTCTCTTCTCTTTCTGATATGCCCATCATCCTTAGAATGCGCCTTCTGATGTAATCAGAGAGTTGTTTCATTTTTTAAAAACTCTTAGTTCTCTCTTCTTCCTCAGGGATTATTTTTAGGGTTCTGTCTTCAGGTTCTCGAATTCTCTTTTCCATCTTGGTCTGCTTTGTTTCTAGTGCTCTCTAGTGCATTCCTTATTTATTGAGTTCTTCAGCTCCAGAATTTCTTTTTTTGTAATTTGACTGTCTTTCATGAAGTACTCCCTTTATTCATTTATTTTATTCCTGAGCTCATTAAACTGCCTTTCTGAGTTCGTTTTTGGCATATCGTTGAGTTTCTTCGTAACTGCGGTCTTGAATTCTCTGTCATTTTAATCAGTCTCCCATGACTTTTGAGTTGGGTTTCTGGAGATTTTTCACTTTCCTTCTGTGCTCCCAGGTACCTTGGTGGTTCGTGGTGTTTGATGGATTGTTTCTCTGTGTGCACCTGAGGTGGTGGCCTCTTGCTGAGATACTGTTTTGCTCTCAGCATTCAGCAGGTTCGTAGGCAGGCTGCTTTTTCTTTTCCCACAGACGCTGTCGCAGGGCATGTTCTGTTTTCTCTTACTTGCACCCTTTACACTCTGGGTGGAGTGGTGCTGCTTAGGTTAAGGAAAATGCCATGTCCCCACTGAGGTGCTGGGTGTCCCTTCTGTCACCAGCCCACCTCAGTTACGGGTCATGACTGCTGTGATGGGGGGATGTGACTCGTGGTGAAGAACTGGCTTGGCAGGCTCCCAGAGCAGTGGCGTTTTTGCCCTGGGCTTCTGGTTTTACCGGGCTCTGCCGGGTATGTGGGGCAGAGGAGGCGCGTGCACAGTCTTAGGGCTCTGCCCCGCCCCCTTGCAGTAATGGCTTCCCAGCCACCTCTACCCAGCTCTCCTGCAATGGGGCGGGCGGAGGGGAGATGCCTTTTCTAGGAAGCAGACTGCTTCTGCCCCTCTTACCCTCCAGGTTGTGGTGTGAGGGCTGCAGCCAGACTTGTCCCCCACTGTTAATGCTCGCTGCTGGCTGGAGCCAGGGTGGGCACCAGACTGCCCGTCCCCAATCCCCCCTCCTCTCCTGCCCTTCCTCCATCCCGCCTCCCCTGCTCATTCCAGTTAGTCACCTTCAGGTGTCCTGATGGGTGGATCTCTCAGGCGTGTTTGTGTATTGAGCAGGGTCCTTTGTTGAATTTTAATTGTCAGACTTGTAAATACAAGAGGAGAAATAATAGCGTCTTCTCACTCTGCCATGATGCTGACGTTCTGTCTCCATTTACTTTTAAAAGCTATTGGTGTCTTGTAAGTAACACTTTTGAAGCCTAGATTTCAGTTGCTCCATATACTTGAAACATATTAAATACTGTTTCGTGAAACATACTCTGTAATTTACACTTTTTCCATGTTAGTCTGGCCTTGTGAAGTGTTTTTACAGGTACTTATTATTTGACTTCAAATTATACTAGTGATACAATCTTAATAAAGAGGAAATAAGCAAAATACTTTTTAACTAAAAACACATATTACCATCTCTGCTTGATTTTCTTGAAATGGCAGATTCTGTGTGATGACAGGCTGTTCCCTCTGCGTTTCAGGTACTATGCCGTGATGGTCACCATGTTCTTCACGGTCAGCGTGGTGAACAACTACGCCCTGAACCTCAACATCGCCATGCCCCTGCACATGATATTTAGATCCGTGAGTTCCGCCGGCTTGCGGGAGTGTGCTCCTCTGGAAAACACCGAGGGGGCAGGTTAAACGCAGGCAGCAGTAGAAGGGCTCGTAATGAGTAGTGTTTAGGGTGGAAGAACGGGACTCATTGATGAGTGAGCAGGGGCTGCCTTTCATCTGAGAAGCGAGGCAGAGAGAGAGAAATGTGAAAGTGGATGGTTTACTTGGACTTATCTGAGGGCTTATAGGTGACGAATAAAAGGGAAGTTCAAATTTTCCCGAGAAACAGATTCTACCTTTAATTTCCTTCCTGGTTGGTTTTATAGTCAAATTTGTTATGAATGTTATTTATTTCTCATCACTTTTTCTTTATTCCATAAAATTACATTTACTTCTAGTAAATGAAACCGACCCTTCCCTTTTCTGATTTTTTTTTTTTTAAGCAGAGCCTTGAGATAAGTAAAAGGAAATTCTTGATGAAGACATGTTTCTTCAAAAGCAATAGAGGTTTTTTTCTTTGCCTCACGTATGGTGTGTTTAGTTTCTATGGAAATAAGAACAGTTTTCCCTGAAGAGCAGAAAAGACTTCGAGGGAAATGTAGATAGGCTGGCAGAAGAATACAAAATGGGTGATTATCGGGATTATAACGCCTTGGTGCGGTCTGAGATTTCCATGAGACCGAATGTGCTATCCCTAGAAGGACTTTCCAGAGCTAATTATAATTACTAAGACGACCTTGAAAGCATTGAGCATGCAGTAGACTTTCAGTAGGCACAGGGTGATTGATTGATGGTCACCCTTCCAAGGGAGAGAGAGATCTCTGCTCGCCTTTCTTCATTAAAATGAGGGGTGAGAAGCTTATTAAAAACTCTTAAAAGATAGATGGAAAATTTGACAAAAACAAGTCTGTATTATGATCTATTCCTGCTAGTCCTAGCTTCAGCTATGACTGGTTATTGAGAATTGATCATTTTTATTTTCGTTGTCATCTTTAAAAGGTCTTAATTATTTTGCAAGATAGATTTTATGGTTTATACTTGCTGCCATCATATGAACACCTGGACTTTACTAATTAATCATCCTAACCTCCTCCTCGCCAGCTGTTTCTCCCTCTTGTCTACGTTCATATTTATCTTGAGTTATATTGTCTTTCCCTGGTCCACTAAAACTTTCTCTTGTCTCCTTTTACAGGGTTCTCTAATTGCCAACATGATTCTAGGAATTATCATTTTGAAGAAAAGGTAAACAATACACTTTTACAGTTTATGTACAAGAAGCCTTTCCTGAGCCCTGTCTGTAGGGGAGATCGTTTGCCCTGTACCTTCTTTGTGTCTCGGTTCTCTCTGTGACAGTGGTGTTCATTCCCCAAGCAGCTGACCACGTGGCTCTGGAGTAGGTTTTCTCTGGGTGGAAGTAGCTCTTGTTGTCATTGATTCCTTAGATCCATACTAACCTATGAAGCCAGTTGATCTAGAACTTCACTGTCCCATATGGTCACCCCTAGTCACTTGTGACTATCTACATTTAACATTTAAATTGCTTAAAATTACATAGTTTCTCTGTCTCCTGAGTCGCATTTGAAGTGCCCAGTAGCCGCATGTGGCTAGTGGTGACCACACTGGAGAGCCCAGTGTGGAGCATCTCCGGCCTCAGAGCTGTGTGGGACAATGCTGTCATAGAAGGTGTTTATCTGTGCGACATAATGAGCTAAGGAATAATCATACTTATTAAAAAGAAAATCCCTAATAAAGGCCCAACTGGCCAAGAAGATGGAGTGAAGTTTCCGTACTGTCCTTTGTGAGTCAGCATCTGCGGGATAAGGTGGGGAGGCACTGGAAGCATCTGGGATGCTTTCTTCAAGTGTATGTCCCCCACCTTCATTCTGAGCCTCACCTCTCACTCCTGAAAAGGAGGGGCACTGAGGAAGGAAAGATAGCACACAGCGCCTGGAACATTCCTCAGGGGAAGCTCACCCTCACTATTATGTCCACAATTGTACAAGTCGATGGCAGCTTTTCCGTTTAATGCCCACCCCCAGGATCAGAACTCTGTACCAGCTTGGGAAGGAGCTGTTAGTTCTGAGTGTGGGAACCTAGAGCTTTGACGGAATAAGGGCTGTGTCATAAAAAGGACAAGTGTCCTATCTTACCAGGCCCCTTATCATGAACCCTCTATCTCCCGAGTTTTGTGCATCCCTGGGGAAGTGCCATTGTAGTTGATTTCATTCCTTGGTCCTCTGCTCACTTAAGTGAGCGCATGTAATGGTCAGGCTTGTCGTGCTTACAGTGACCTTGTGGTGCCTGGGAGAACAGAATTCCCCTTGGGACAGACCTGTGGTCCTTCCAGCCTTTCATTTAGGCTCATAACAGGGATATAAAAGAACATTTTATTATAAAAAATGTATTTTCCTGATACTGCCTCAAAATGTTAGGAGCCTTTCTCAAGCATTTTGGTTTTTCGTAATAATCATTCAAGATTTAAAAAAAAAAAAATAGTGCTATTTGGGAAGCCTGACTCAGGCAAAAATCCAGCCCGTGCCCCAGTTAGGAGCCAGAGGCAAGGTGTGTACTTGGGCAGGGGCTGGTTACATCAGCCGAAGGCGGGCGCGTCTGTCGGAGCAGGTCAGCTCCTTCCAAACGGTGTTCGTAATTTGCCGTCAGGTAATTCTCAGGCCCAGGGTTACAGTTTCTGCTTTCTCGTTATGTTTACAGACAGTCCTTTGGGGTACAGTGTGGCTTTCGGCCCAGCCCCAAGGTTGTTTGCTGTTCTTACGTTCTGAAGGTCTGGGGCGTACAACGTACAGCCGCCAGGCTGGTGGCTTTGACTTCCATTCAAAGTGGTTCCATTTATTTATTATTTTTTTACACTTATTTCCTTTTATTTATCTTGGGTAGAAGGCCCCCAAGTTGATAGTATATTCCTCATTCATTATGTTTTAGGTCTAAATTATAAAGCTTTCTGTCTTGATCTTCCCAGACTAAAGAGTGTTACAGCTGCCTCCGCTGCGCTGGGTCCCTCCCCTGCCCTCGGCTCTCGCTGGGTGTTCTTGGCCTCGCTCTGCCTCTTAACTAGTTCTCTTGGCCTTTTATGAGTTGCTGTGACCAGACCTGTACTAAGCAGTTGAGTAGAAACTTGGGATAGTTCATCTCGTAAATTTGACTTCTTTTCATTTTTGCTCTAGGCCTTTCACTTTATCACCGAGAGCCCGAGAAGGACAGTAATGATACTACTTTAGTTAATGTGAAACGCCACTGTTATTACTGCCAGCAGTCCTATTAGTTTAATATTCCTCCCTTTATCCAACTATGCCGACATTTAAAAACAACGCTTAAACCATTCAGAGGCTTTAAAAGAGAATCCACCCCGAAAATGAACGGTTGAGTTATTTTGAGCGTCGAGCCCTGCTCCTTGCACCCGACAGTCCGTTCTTCGTTGCGCGGTGCGTGTCCGCATGCTCAGGGTTGTGCCCCCCAGACCCAGGGAAAGCAGCAGAGCCAGCCAGCCAGGCGTTCTGTGGACTCCCGCGGGCAGAATGGAATGGAGTGTCTGGGGTTTTTTATTTTTTTTATTTCTTTTTATTTTCTGATGAAACAACCTGTTGGTGCACGAGCTGTTGGAAACGGTTTTAAGCAACACCGAGAAAGGGTGTCGGGCAGCCACCAGTCGGCACCCTGGTCCTTCCACACACACACTCACACGGGCCCTGCGGGGAAAGGACTCCCTCGATCACATGTTGGTGATTTGTCCTCTCAGGCCCCATGGCAGAAAACCTCATGTGGAGGTTGGTGTCTGTGCTTTCCTAAGGTGTTCTTGTTTCTTTTTGCAGATACAGTATGTTCAAATATACTTCCATCGCCCTGGTGTCTGTGGGGATATTTATTTGCACTTCCATGTCAGCAAAGCAGGTGGTAAGAATGGGTTCCCAAACCATTTATAGTCACTGCTTGCCACGGGCGCCCAGGTGCCAGGTCCTTATTCATGACACAAAGAAGAGGGGAGGGAAATGGGTAACAAATACTTCCCTCGTGTCCAGGCCCGCGGCCTGTAGCTCTGGTCTCCGTACCTAGTATTTTTCTTTCTTCCTAGACTTCCCAGTCCAGCTTGAGTGAGAAGGATGGATTCCAGGCGTTTGCGTGGTGGTTACTAGGTAAGTACGGTAATTACAATACAGATAATTGCCTCTGCGGTTCTGTTTGCCGAGTTTTCTCCTAAGGGACATGTTTCTTGGCAAGGAGCTTTAGCTAAACAGATTATGCCACAGACGAGCGGCACCTGGGGTCACAGTATCTCCGGACCTAGTGTTCAAGAAATGAAGAAAAGAAACGTCCAGGTCCGTGGCCGTGTGCTGCGTGGCGTGGACCCGCGCTTTTCCAGCGCGCCGCTGGTATGGGTGGGAAGGGGCGTGCCTGCCCGCCTGCCATGCTCTCGGGGAGCAGTGCGTGGAGGGCCATCCATTTCTTCACGGCCTGTCTGCCGAGCAGAGGCTTCTTCAAAAGAAGGGCACGGTACAGCAGTTGATTATTTAGATTTCCAAGGGACCCATTTCTAAGCCTGAGATTTATTTTCTTCAGAAGTTAGCTCTTCCATATGGCAGTGTTCCCAAACCTGACTGATCCGCAGAATCTCCTGGGGAATTTTTTAAAATGCAAGTATCTCTTTATGGAATTAATGAGGCAACTCCCGCAGAGCCGGGCCCTCCCATCGTGTGATGTGGCGGCGAAACTCTCCCCCAGTGCAGTTGGTGGGGGCAGGAACAGGTTGAGGCCAACCAAGTGGTGGAGAAATAGCAGTGAAAGAAATTCTACCTGCTTCTTGGCTTTGACAATGTATTCCTCCAGATTACCATCTTTAACATGGAAGGATCTTTGTGAGCTATTAGAAGAATACTTAATCCAGTGGGAACAGTTTGCCAAGGATTTGAACCTACAATTCATGGGGAAAAAATGTGCCATAATTTTATGTTCAGCTTCACTAGTCTAATAATCAAAGAAATGCAGATTGAATCAAAATGCAGTGCCTTTTTGTTTTGATCCATTAGATTGGCAAGATAATAAACGATTGTTCTCCTTGCTGCTGGCGCTGCAGTAGGACAATCATTTTCACGTAAACTGTTTACAGTATAAATTGACAGACTTTCTGGGAAAAAGTTTATGTATTGAGTTTTTAAAAGGTCTACACCTTTGACTCAGTAAATTCACGTATGAGAGTTTAGCATAAGGAAATGAAGATTTTTTAAAAAGACTTATATACAAGGATGTATGTTGATTTTAATGATGAAATACTTGGGAGTAATCTACTCATTCTCATATTGTAAGACATTTAAGCATGGTACAGCCACACGATAGAGCAGTATGTAGCCATTCAGACATAGTTTTGAAAAAATTTTAGTGAATGACCTGAAGAAAAATCCAGGAAAAGGATCATGGAAAAAAAAGCAAAATATAAAATTGTGTATTCATTATGATCCTGGCTTAGCATAAAATATACACAAATTATTTAGAGAGATGGAAAAAACTGTAAAGGACTGGATGGTAATATTATGGTTGACTTTTTGAAATTTTGTACATACTCTATAATTAACTTGTAATATTTGTAGTAAACAATCAATAAGTGTTCTTTAAGAAAATATCGGAAATTAGCAAATGCAGGTAGCCTGTAGCCTGATCTCTGTCTTGCAGGTATCGGAGCACTGACGTTTGCTCTTCTGATGTCGGCCAGGATGGGTATTTTCCAAGAGACTCTCTACAAACAGTTTGGGAAACACTCCAAGGAGGCTTTGTTTTATAATGTAAGCAATTTCTTGACCCTGGGGAGGATAAAAGTCACTAGGTTGTCACTGTACTATGTTATTTCACATGCAATGTGCCGCCCTACTGAAGGACGAGCTTACCTAAGTCCGGGAACCTGCGTGGGCCCCACAGGCCGAAACCCCTTCTGTAGGCTGCCAGTGTGCGTTCCGAGCCACGTCCCTCTACACAGGGTGGGCACGGCCAGCCGCCGTGAACGGAACGTGTCTGCTCACCGGGAGCCGCCACAGGGACAAGGAACCTTCGCCCCCGTGTTCCTGCAGGCGGAATCAGGTTCAGACCGATAGGGAAACCTGGACAAGGAAAATAAGTTGCAGAAACAACGTGCCAAGGGGAGAGGAGCAGGCAGGCACTGGAGAGAGTCAGGGAAGGTGTGTGGGAGGAGCAAGTCCCTCACATGGGCCTTATTCATTTTCTGGAGAGTGTAAGTAGCAGTTACATGCGCTAGCTCTTTGTGTTAAACTGCTGACCTAGAGCCTCCTCGTGCAGCTCTTCTCTTCTGCTTTGCTCCTGGGGTGCTAATGCCCACGCACAGCCCCTCAAGGTCAGGGTGATACACGTTCTCCTTCGCTGCCAACTTCTTGTACTGAAGTTGCAGACAAGCAATTTGATATATTTAGGTGGAGCTAGAGTACGTGGCTGGGAATTTAAAAAATAAACATTCCATTTGTTTGACATCTTCCTTTTAGAACGGTAAGTGGCACAAAGTAACTGCTGAGTAAATGGTCGCTGTGATTCCTTATTCAGTTATTGTGGTGTGCATTAATCTTGGCTTGCCTCTTGTTTCCTCTTCCACCTCTTTTTATTCTTCATTTTTTTCCCCTGACATTGTGTTCTCCTCCTCTCTCCTTTCCTGCTACTTTTCTAAACTCCTTGAAATCTGCCTTCACATTCTTTATAATCGTTAAATTCATTATTTTTGCTTAATTCAATGCAAGAAATCCTTTGGACAGAACGACCGTGTGCATAAATCTCCCGTTCCCTTTTGTTGGGGGAAGGATGCTGGTGCGCGCGTGCGCTTGTGATGACCGTCACGCCCCATAATGGCAGGAACTGTAATTTTGGAGTTATTATGCCATACAGTATCACGTGGTTAGATGCACTGGATACATGTAACTTAGTCTAACTTGCTTTTCTTGATACTGCTTGTCAAACAATCTGAAAAACTTGGGATCATTGTAAAACTCCCATTAGTCTATTATGTTTTTGCATCTCAATTTATGTGAACTCTTTCTTCCCATAGCATGCCCTTCCCCTGCCTGGATTCATCTTCTTGGCTTCTGATATTTATGACCATGCCGTTCTTTTCAACAAGTCTGGTGAGTTTGGGGTCACCCAGTAGAATTACCTGACACCTCTGAGGCACAGTTTCAGTTTTACTCTCGACTCGACCACTGCTCTTTTTATCCAAATCGTGGGGCCCGCTTGAAACCACCCCCGTCCCAGGAATGCAGTGCCGTGAATCAGTAGTTGCAGCAGCAAAAGCCTTTTTACAGGGGCTTCTCCATTATTTTCAAATGAAGTAAGACTGTCATCAGATTTTGCTTTGGAATATGTGTGCTTGCCTTTGCATGTGGAAGGCTTGCTGTTTTGAGAATGGAGAGAAATAGTGGCAACGCACAGCAGAGAGGGCGGCTGTCGGCGGGGGCCGCGGTCCCGCCCCCTCCGTGCCTGGTCGTCCTGTTCTGCCGCGACAGGGAGATGCAGTCCTAGCTGCCTGGGGAAAGGGGCCGCAGAAATGACGGCAGGCTCTTTTTCCAAGAGACAGGTGAGATAGGCAGCAGGAATAAGCAAAACTAATTCAAGCGTCTGCAGTCTAAGTTAACGGTTACTTCTTAAAGTGACTAGTTAATAAATTCGCTATAAATTGTCAGTTGAAAGAAATTACTTACATGATCTGATTAGCTACTGAAAGACATAGTGTTATATAGACAAATGAACACACAAAGAACAAATATTTTTTAAAAATAAGGTTTTATGTTGCTCATGCCTATAAAGTATCTTTTATAGAATGGCCGCAGGTGCGCAGTAAACATTTGCCACCTGAACAGGAGTTGTGAAGTTGTACTGTGCTCTGAATTTGCCATGCTGCCTCTCCCACTTTGTCCCTGCAAAAAACAAACAAACGAAAACGCATGATGAAGGTACTGTGGAAGAAAATGTTTAAGGTTCTGAACTATTCATTTCTGGTTTTTTGATTGAGATACAGCTGATTTTTGACACAACCGTTTTTACGGTTTCTGACAGTTGCCACATAGGAAAGAGCTGTTTAAGTAAATACACTATTAAATCTTAGGACTGATTTTGATTTAGTTACTAGAATGCTGCTTCTAAAAGTTGCAGTGCTGGCTACTTACTCTTGTTTTTTTCTCTTTTTAGAATCTGCCTTTAACTTTTTCAGAATTGTCCTTAAGTTAAATGTACATTTTTTTTCTCGAACTTTAATGTCTCAAATGAACCTATTATCCTTGATGTTTCTAAAGTCGTGCTGATTGTCTCTCTCCTCAGCAAACTGACACAGTGGGTCTCTGAAGTTATTGAACAGTGATAACATTTGTTAACTTTCTTTGCATGTCAATACTTGCTAAGTATTTCAGAGACAACAGAAGACCACATTATTGGGATTCCCTGCTAGTGCAGACATACAGTTCTAACCAGTTATCTCTTTATCCAGGTGGCTTTTTATTTTTTGCAAAGAAAATTAATGCTCCTCTCCTAAACACATCTCAGCATCACCCTGTTGGAATGTCCTAAGTTCTGCTGTGTATTTCAAACCCCAGAAACAGTTCAGCCACATAGAAGACACAGCCCCTGGACAGTCAGGGGTGTGCGGCCCAGGGAGGCTGTGAATGCAGCCCAATACCAAGTCATGAATTTACTGAAAACCGTTTTATGGGCTCGTCTGTTTTCATTAGTATTTGTGTCTTTAATGTGTAGCCCGGAGATGCCAAAAGGTTGGCTACCCCTGCAGAGGATTACTGTGTCCTCATTCTCTTTAATCTCGGCGTTTAATTTCCTCCCAAATAGTCACCGTGCAAACCTCATTATGTAAGATTAACATAAGAATGTATTTAAAAGAAGAAAAGTTAAATTTCTGTCACCCTACACACATCAGCTAATTTCATTTTACCAGTTTCCTTCCAGACACGTAAGTTCTTACATAGTTGTAATCCTTGTGTAGATATAATTTTATACTTTTTTACTTTAATTATGAGTTTTTATGTGACTATATGTAATCCTTACTTTTTAAAAATAGAACATATGTCTAATGCCTCTAGTCAAAGCACCTTTGCTTAAATAGCCAGTGCTCTATCATTGATTCATCATTGATCCTTTAGATTGGTTTTTTCCTTATTGTAAGTTATACTGCAATAAATGAAGAACTTTTTCTTTTTTATGAATTATCTAAGATTAATTCCTGAGAATGGATATCAATACTTGTATGGCCCCGTAACAAGAATTGTAAAGTTGATTTTTTTTAAAAAAAATACCAATTTATGCTACTACTGACTGAATGGTTGTCAGTTCCACTTTTACTTTGCCAGATTAGAACACTAGTTGCAAATTTTTAATTGCTAACTTAATAGCTATAAACTGCTACAGTCTAATTTAGAATTCTTTGATTACTAGTAGGGCTGACAGCATTTCCACATGGCATTTAGTTGCTGGTTGTCTGTCCTCTTGAGTTGATTGTCAGTTAAGACCATTTCATCTGAACTTCTCTGGGCTTCACAGCCTTTCTCTTAAAAGCGGGATCCTATTCAGGTGAATGGTTAAGAGGTTATTTTAAAATTAAGATAATCATTTGTTTTAAGAAAGCAGTGTAGTGACTCTTGAGGCTGACGTAGCCTGGAATCAAGGCAGGTAAAGGGGTATGGTCCACATTTGTTCTCAAGGGAAATAACACCGCTATCTCTAGTGTGTTCAGTCTGTATTACTCTGTTTGAAAAGATGAAAACTTTAGCTGTTAAAAGTGATACGGCCATCTCCCCTTTTAATCTTTGCAGAATTATACCAAGTTCCAGTCGTTGGTGTCACAGTGCCCATCATGTGGTTCTACCTCCTCATGAATGTCGTCACCCAGTATCCTTTGCGCTCCTCGGCCGCACGTCCTCTCGGGGTTATTGTGGCGTAGGAGTGTTGAGTTGTGACACGGGTTTCGCTGTCGCTTTGATCTGCTCTGCAGTAAGCAGGAGGCGGGCCCCTCCGCAGAGCCCCTTAGTGGCGGGCTGCAGGTGCGATCGTGGTGCCGTAGGGAAGCGCTCTGGGTGCAGGCGCCGAAGGTGGTGGATAAGTAAGAATTAGAAAATGACGTGCATGATCTGTGATTTCTACCTGGAGTTTCTAGTGTCCTGGGGTATTTCACAAGCTGCCACAAGACTCAGAAAGAAATTTCAAATCAATTAAACTTAATTAAAAAAAATAATTTTTTACAATGGACTGAAGGTCATTCAAAAGAAGTCTGAACCAGTCAAACCGACTGTAGAGCTAATCTGCGAGGGGGCGTGAGGAGAGAGGCCAACCTCAGAGGTTTTTGGAGAAGGGAGTGGAAGGATGGGGCGCAGAGCAAATGAAGGTGGGTGTGAGGACCTTTACTGAGCGTGTCACCCTCTGTCACTCCTTGGGAGGTGACCTTCACTGTCACCTGTGGGAAGAATCCAGAATAAGCATAATGGGAGGTGTCAGGCAGATGAGGTGGGATGGCAGGACAGGAATTCTGCGGGGTGCTCTGCTGGGGGCCTCGCGCAGCCGTGGCCGCCCCCCAGGTTTCTGCTTCTTAGGATGGGACATTTAAGCCGAGAACCACACCGGGAGGCTCTCCCCCAGCTGATCTCTGGGTACTCACTCTACAGGAAACTCCCTTAACCCCGCCTCTCCAGGTACGTGTGCATCCGGGGCGTCTTCATCCTCACCACAGAGTGCACCTCCCTCACCGTCACACTCGTCGTGACTCTTCGCAAGTTTGTGAGTCTCATCTTCTCCATCTTGTACTTCCAAAACCCGTTCACTCGGTGGCACTGGCTGGGCACCTTGTTTGTCTTCATTGGGACCCTAATGTACACAGAGGTGTGGAACAACCTAGGGACCACAAAAAGCCAGCCCCAGAAGGAGGACAAGAAGAACTGAGCTCTGCCTGGGAGACCGGTGTCGCCATGAGCCAGGGTCTAGCACAGTCTGGCTGCCATTTCACTTTTGTTAACGCTGACTTAGCCTCCGGCACCGAACCAGCCACGCACCAGAGAATCCTCAGAAGGCGGGGACATCTCAGATTTCACATGGCTTTACAGACCAACATGGGTGGAATAGAAACCTCACACCCCTAAATTAGAAAAAATAATAGGTCTCTACTATTGAACCACCTGTTTGTTACCTCTGTCTTGTTTACCAAAATATTCGGTACTATACTTGTTTATTGGATTGAGTCTCCAGAGCTACTAGTTTTATATCCACAGTCTTGGACAAAGTTATCCCTTTTGTTGTTGTTCTCATGATTGTCTGCCATAAGTCACCATCATCCTGTGTCCTTGTCCTTTTGTTCTGACACCCCGCCACTCCTCCATGGCGCTTTTCAGTCGGTCACGCGCCCCTGGCATCATCAGGAACGACCGAGTGGCCAAGTGAATGAAGACACCGGTGACGCTGGGGCTGGACCTTCTCCCGCATCTTGGGAAAGTGGTGGTTGTCCCTGTGAGCCGAGCCCTGGCGACAATGGAGCAGGACTGGGGGAACCCTTTCCCACATTCTATTTTGTTTTCTATGCAAAATCACATGCCTTTTGCATCTGTGGCTTTCTGTGCTTAGAACCAACCTGCAGCATACCTCTGTGGCGCAGTGTTAACAAGGGAAAAAGTTGCATATGAATTGGGAGAGAGACCTTTTTTCCCTTACTCTTCTACATGAAGCCCATGAGCCTAGAACTGGTGACACCAGGGTGGCCCAGGAGAAGCTGGCCCTGGGCATCACCCAGAGCTACAGCTTCTGCTCCACAGGTCCTCACAGAGCTCCTCCCAAGAAGGTTTAAGCCTACAATTCTGATAGTCGCGAGCAGGCTGATGAGTAGGCTAAAATGCAGTGTTGGTGTGTAAATCAGGTCGAATCACAACTGAAATGGAAAGTTTCTTGTTTTTCTCTAAGGTGTCTCAGTGTTCTTGACGGGTATTTGTGGCGGTGGGGGTTGTGTGTGTGTTATTCCACATGGAAAGGCAGGGCCCTTTTACTAACCTGGTTTCCTCCCCGGTGTCATTTTGAGACAGAGGAACAATGCCAGCCAGACTGGAGCGCGCAGGTGAGTGTGTGCCCTTCTGTGGTTTGTGATAATTTGGGAGACAGGAGCATGAAAGTGAAGGTTCTTTCATTTTCTCTTCCTTCACTTACCCCTAGACCTTGACTGACCTCACACAAGTGCGTGCTCTGCTGCTGGCAGCTAAACTTCTTGGCCACTCTCTTTTTGCACACAAAGGCCTGCCTTTTTCTCCTGGGTGCAGATCATGTTCTTAAATTGGGAGGTGGCTCCACGGGTGCCCTGGGTCCACCCTTGGTGGGGCGTGTAGTTTCCATTGCGTTTGGGCGGGTCCAAGATGGCAGCGTAAGAGGACACGGAGCTTGCCACATCCCATGCACACACTGAACGCACGTTTATATTTAGAGTAGTTGTCTCTGAGAGACAACTAGGGGACAACTGAAGAGACCACATGGAGAAGGTTGGGAACCTTCAGGAGCTCTCCAGAATCAGAGGGAACCCACCAGGATCAGGAGCCGGTGAGCACCGTTGTTTGCATGCTCCTTACATGTGGGTAGCATTGCTGAGAGCTCTGCCCACGTGTTCTGGCCAACGTGCGAGGCCGCACTAGTGCGCCCTGGTCACCCCCCTAGAACTATAGCTGCAGCAGGAAGAGGGCGCAGTAGCAAGCGTGCATGGCCCCTACCACCAACAGTCTGGATTAGATCCTCTGGCGCAACAGGGCCCTGAGGCTCAGCTACTGCTGCACACGCCCAGGGCTGCCCCACCCAAAGCCAAAGCAGAACCCCCGGGGAGGAGCTGCAGTACACGGGTGCTGGGCAGCCCCACGTGGAGTGACCGCAGGGACTGAGCAGGGCATCACTATGCTCCTGCCTAGGGGGTGGTCCAGCTCAGACCTCCACAGCAGTCAAAGCAACAGGCTACGCCTTGACTGCTAATATACACAAAGAGGGGCCCCACCCACAGTAAGAGGGAACCAGCCGAGCGCTGCAACATGCATTTGTGTGGCTGTGTAGATGGGAACTCTAAGGGCGTGAGTGAGCCATGTGCATTTACACTTAGAGGGAGGCCCCTACCCGAGTGGGAGGGAGCTGGCAGCAGTCAAAATGACAGGCAAACCATGCGCATGGCAGGAAGCCCTGCCTGGAGCAAGAGGGAACCAGCAGAGCTGCATTGCCATGGTCGGGTATCCCCGGACCAGCTCCAGCCACAGTCAAGCAAAACGACAGGGCGTGCCTCCTGCGCACACAAGGCAAGCCCACCTGGATCAAGAGTGGAACCAGCAGGGCTCTACAGGGCGCGTGCACAGTGCTGCCGTCCCTGACCCAGGTCTGTGGACAGCCAAAGCAGCAGGCAGCTACACATGCACACCATGCTGCCCCCTGGGCACGGCACGTGCCCACCCCAACTCCAACCAGCTTGCCAAAACCACCTAGTCTATAGACACCCTTGTATAAGAGGAATTTTTCAAGATGGGGGCGGGGGGGGGGAGAGCTATTTTATCTAACTCCTAGCAATAAGAGAAAAACTAATGAAATCAGGGAAAATGTTTTTCAGAAAAAGAAAAGAAACTGTCATAAGGATAATAAACTGGGAAGTTGCACAAAGGAACTCAGAACTTCTAAAAAAAATTAGAAAATATAATGAACCAATCAGATGAATACAAAAACAAGTGAAAACGACACTAGAAGGACTTGACATCAGATTGGTTAATACAGAACAATGGATCAGTGACCTGGAAGAATACTGAAAGTCACCCAATCACAACGGCAAAAAGAAAAGAGAACTTAAGAAAATGAAGATAGTATGAGGCCCTATGAGACAATGTCAAGCACACTAACATTCACATAGAGATCCCAGAAGAAGAGAGAAAAGGGCAGAAGGTACATACTTAAAGAACTAATGGTGGAAAACTTTCCTAATCTAAGGAAGGAAAAAGACATCCAGGTCCAGGAAGCACGTGGAGTTCCAAACAAGATGAACCCAAAGAGGCCCACACCAAGACAGACTGTAATTGAATGGACAAGTTAAAAACATAACCTTGAAAGAAGGGGGAAACAATGAATTACATACAAAGGAAACCCCAAAAGGCTATGAGCTGATTTCTCAGCAGCAACATTATAAAGCCGGAAGGGAGTGGCAGGAAATATTTAGAGTGCCGAAAGAATCTACAACCTAGTATACCTGGCAAGGTTATCACTCAGAATTGAAGGAGAAAGAATTTCCCAGATAAGCAAAAACATAAAAGTTCATTACTCTTAGGCTTTATAAGAAAGGGTAAATATTCGTCTTTATGCAGAAAAGGCCATGTCAAAAATAAGAATACGGGGCGGGGGGGGGGGCGGGAATCACAGATAAAGGCAAATACAGAATTAACACACTCTGCCACTCAAAAGTCTAATACGAAGATTAAAAGACAAAAGCAAAATGAGCTAAAATAATAAGGAGCTACACAAAAAAAGAAAATATGTCATCAAAAAGTGTGTGGGGAGGGGAGTGAAAATTTAGTGCTTTTAGAATGTTTGAACTTAAATGCCATTAGCTTAAAATAGAAGGCTGTAGATATAATTGGACACACACACACACACACATCCACCCACCCACCCACCTCATGGTAACCACAAACTACAGAAAATACACCAAAATAAAGAGAATAGAACCCCAACAAAACACTAAAGGAAACGAGCAAACCAAAAGGAAAGAGACCAAGAAGAGAACAAAAACAACCAAAAAAAATGACAATAAGTACATATCCATCAACAATTATTTTCAATGTAAATGGACTGAGTTCTCCAGTCAAAAAGACATAGGGTGGCAGGATGAATTAAAAAAAACAACAACGAGGCCCATCTGTGTGCTGCCTACAAGAGACTCCCTTTGGATTGAAAGACACACAGATGGAAAGTGAAGGGTGCTAAGGTATTTGTACAAATAGAAATGAAAAGAAAGCTGGGGTAGTGATACTCACATCAGATGAAACAGGTTTTAAAACAAAGACTCAAACACAGAGGGACCTTGCATAATGATAAAGGGGTCAATCCAAGAAGATATAACCATCCTGAGTATGCACCTAACGCAGGAGCACTCAAGTCTATAAAGCAAATATTAATAGACATAAAGGCAGAAATTAATAGTAATACCATAATAACAATAGTTGGGGACTAATATCCCACTTAACTCAATGGATAAATCAGAAAACTAATAAAATAATGGCTTTGAAATAGAGACAGACTCAGAGCAGGCTGACAGCTTGGTGGGGGGAGGGGTGGAGGTTGGTGTTCAGGGCATAGAAGGATCAAGCAAAAGGGAAAAAGGACTCGTGAACATGAACAGCAATGTGGCAATTGCAGGGAAGCGGGTGTATAAGGGAGGTAAATGGTAATGGAAAAAAACAATAAAAAATGAGGAAAAAACGAAAATAATGGCCTTAAATGCCACATTAGAACATATTGACTTAATAGACATTTTTAGGAGAGACCATATGTTAGGCCACAAACAAGCCTCAATAAATTCAAGAAGATTAAAAAATGTTATCAAGCATATATCCTGGCCACAGTGGCATGAAACTAGAAACCAACTATAGGAAGAAAACTGGAAAAAACAACATGGAGATTAAATAATATGCTACTAAACAACCAATGAGTCAGAGAGGAAATCAAAAACTACTTTGAGACAAATGAAAATGAAAACAACTCTTCAAAACTTATGGGATGAAGCAAAAGCAATTATAAGAGGAAAGTTAATAGATATGCAGGCCTACCTCAAGAAGTAGGAAAAATCTCAAATACAATCTAACTTTACACCTAAAGGGACTAGAAAAAGAACAATCAAAACCCAGAGAAAGTAGAGGAGGGAAATTAAGAAAGGTCAGAGTGGAAATAAAATACAGATTTAAAAAACTATTAAAAAGTTCAATGAAATTAAGAGCTGGGGGTTTTTTTTTGAAAGGATAAAATTGACAGGTCTCTAACAAGACTCTGAGAAAAAAGCTCAAGTACATAAAATCAGAAATGAAAGAGAAGAGATTACAACTATCACCACAGAAATACTAGGAATCATTAAAGAACACTATGAAGGCAGCCTGCAGCGTGGGCAGGGCAGGACTGGAGTTGTGGGCTCGTCCCTGTGGCCACCCAGGAATGTTAGATGCTGAGAGCGTGCCCTGTGCACCGGACTCAGTATTGCATGGTTCATAAGGGTCTGTTGTGGCTGGCTTTGGACATTTTTTGTTAGCTAGTAGAATTAGAAGATCATATGCTGTTGGAGCTGGAGGATTTATGTTGGTGACTTTAGGATGCTGCTTCCATTGCAGGCATAATTATGCAAAGCTAAGGACCCAGGAAAGAATTGCAAAAGAAGGAATTAAAAATAAGATTTTCTATGAAAGCACCCACGTTGATCCTGAAGGCAAACAAACAAATAGCCCCAGCAGCAACTGAGCAGAGACTCAAACATGGAAACCCAAACGCGACTCACTGAAGTCAGTGTGAATGAAGATGAGATCAACACTATGAAACATCCTATGTACCCTAAGAAGGCTCTCAATCAGGTAAAGAAAATTTGTCTAAGTTGTGGTCTTTTTTATACTTGTATGAATATTTATGAACTCCTGGCCTTGTATCTACTACCAGTGTAGCATATAGTTGACTCTTTAGACCTCAACAAAACAGAATACTATCAATAGTATGTCAGCAAATTAGTCCAGAAGAAATTGATAAATTTCTAGAAACACACAACCTTTCACGATTAGACCAGGAAGAAACAGAAAATCGGAACAAACCTAGGAAATTAGTAATGAGATTGGAGGAGTAATAAAAAAAAACTCCAAATAAAATCCCAGAACCAGATGGTTTCAGAGGTGAATTCTACCAAACCTTT